GCTCTAAATCTGTGAGCCAATGACATGCTTTTATCACAGTCCTCTGGACACTCTTAAGTTTATCAATGTGTTTCTTATATGATTGTCAGACTTGGTACCATAGCTAAGGCATGTTTCACTAATAAAAAGTATAGTTGAATTATTACCTCCCTTAATCTGGACACTATTTTTAATTAATAAGCCTCAGATCACATTAATTTTCTTAGCACCATGCTGACTCACATTATACTTGTGTTAAAATAAAAGTCCTAGTTTTTCCACAAGAACTACTATCAAATTAGATCTCTACTATTCTCTACTTACATAATTAGTTCTTTGAGCCTAAGTTCAGGACTTTGTATTTATTCCTTTTAAATTTCATCTTATTCAGTTCAGTCTATTAGTCTAATCTACTAAGATACAATTGGATCCTTTTCACCAATTTGACATTAGCTCTTTTGTATCATATACAGATTTGATTAGTGAACCTTCTAAATTTTCATCTAAGTTATTTATAAAAATGATAACTAGGTCATACATAGGCAAGATCAAAGTCCTATGGCAAGATAAATTTATGAGCCTCTTATAAACACTCTTTCTGGACAGTTGTTACTAATGAACGAATTATGAATCTGCCTAAACAGTACTATTATCTAGCCCCTATTAAATAAAAAATAAACTACAAAAATTTAAACTGTTTTGCCAATAAAAAAACCAAGCATTTATTAATACAAAGGGAGTTTATATTCTAATGGGGGAGATAATATGTAAAGATGAAGGTATGTGGAGAATATATGCAAAGTAGTGATATTAAAGAGATGCACTCAAATGAAAGCAATTTCAAATGCCTGAGAAATCTGGGGCTTATGGAATCCTTGGTTTCCTTCAAAACAGAGTTCAGGGATCACCATCTCTACAAGGTCTTTCCCTATCCCCCCCAACCCTAGTTGTTTATGCTGTCATATCTCAGAATTATTTGGTAATTTAGCATTTATTTATTTATATGTTGTATCCTCCTGGAAGGCAGGAACTGTTCTACTTTTTTTGTCTTCATATCCCCAGGACCTAGTCCAGTGCCATATGTGTGTGTGTATGTATATGTGTACACATGCATATATGCTATATATATATATATATATATATATATATATATATATATATATATATATAGTGTGTGTGTGTGTGTGTACATGTTATATATATGTATACATAACACACACATCTATATTTTTATATAGTGGGTTCTTTTTCTTTTTTTTTCAGTATTTTTTGGGTCCCCTTTAGCAAGCTATTGACTTGTTTTTCATGATTTTCTTGCATCACTCTCATTTTTCTTCCCAGTTTTTCCTCTACTTCTCTTACTTGCTTTTCAAAATCCTTTTTGAGCTCTTCCATGGACTGGGACTGATTCATATTTTTCTTGGAGGCTTTGGATGTAGGGCTTTGACTTTGTTGTCTTCTTCTGGTTGTATGTTTTGATCTTCTTTGTCACCAAAGTAAGATTCTATGGTCTGACTTTTTTTGCACTGTTTGCTCATGATCCCAGCCAATTACTTGAGTTATAAACTCTTTGTTAAGGTAGGGGTCTGCTTCCAGTGTGGAGAATGTACTGTCCCAAGCTTTGGGGCTTTTATGCAGCTGTTTTCAGAGATATTTCTAGGGACCTGTAAATTTTCAGTTCTTCCAAGGTGGTATGATAAGGGGCAAGGTGTTTACTCCTTTTCCTGGCCTGTGTTATGGTCTATGAATGACCACATGCACTCTCCTTTGCCTTTGCCTGTGAGGATGATTGCATCTTCACTGCCACCACAAGCTCTACCACACCAATGTTCGGCCTTGCCCCAGGACTGCCACCTAGAACTGTGACCCAGAGCCAAGCACGGGCAAAGCCAAGAGAATGCTGCCTCAGCACTAGCGAAGAGATCCCTGCAATCCACCTTTGATCAGCCACTTGATCCCCTCTCCATCTGTGGGCTGAGAGCTCTGGAAGTAGCTGCTACCCTGAAGCTACACTGGGATTGGAGCTGGGACCCAGCTTCTCTCTCATCTTGGTCACAGACCTTTCCTACTGACCTTCTAAGTTGTCTTTAGTATTTGTGAATCACAGCTGCCTGTGATTCAGTCCCCTGAGGTCTTGTCCAAGTTCACTGAGGCAGTCTTTTCATGGATGGCCCATGCTGAACTGTACTCCTTTCCCATCAACCATCCAGGTTGTCTTAGGCTGTAAATTTGTTTCACTCTGTCTTTTTGTGGGTTCTGCTGCTCTAGAATTTGTTTAGAGTCATTTTTTACAGGTATTTGGAGGGGTTTGGGGGAGAGCTCAAGCAAGTCACTGCTTTGATTCCACTATCTTGGCTCTGCCCCCAGGTACCACATTATATTGTGGGTTCTTAACAAGCATTTGTTGAATTGAATTGAAGAAAGCTAAGGAGTCCAAGAAGCAGAGGGGAGGATGGAAGATATTACAGGCAGGCAGGGCAGTCCCCAGTGACTTGAGAGACAAGAGTGTTGTGTTTGGGAAGATAGTAGGTCAATGTGGCCTATGGAAAGCCATTTCCTAAGAGCTCCATATTCATCCTTTCAGTTCATCTCAAAAAATCCCTTGATATCATTGCTCACACACTCTTCCTTTCCTCTGTGTTCTGTTAATGGATTAGATCTTGCCCTTCTACATGTGCCCTGGAACCTACCCCCTCTTGTCTTCCTCAGCAGATCGTCCCCTTACACATGCCTGCCCCCAGTGTTTAACCCATCTACTAATTCCTTCACTAGACCCTACTAATCACCTCAAAATACTTCATTCTATCTTTCCCCCTTTCTCAGACTCCTTGTTGTTTCCATTTCTTCTCTTTTAACTCATTCCTCAAGTCTTTGCAATCTGGCTTCTGACTTCATTATCCAGCTGAAACTTCTCTCTCATTAATTGCCAAAGGCTAATGTCCTTTTTCTTAATCCTCGACTTTCTTGAACTTTTTGCTTCTTTTGATACCCTTGACAACTCTCTGGTCCTGAATACTTTTACCTTTTTGGGTTTTCCTGACGTGATTCTCTCCTAGCTCTCTTACCTGTCTGCTCCTTCTCAGTCTTCTTTGCTGGCTTATCAACCAAACTACACCCCTGAACTGTGGGTGTTCCCCAAAGCTCTATCCTGGGTCCTCCTTTCTTCTCTCTCTATACTTTCTCTCTTGGAGACCTCATCTGTTCCCATGGATGTACATGATCATTTCTACGCATATGACTCCCAGGTCTACGTATCCAGCCCCAACCTTTCTCCTGAGATCTAGAGGCAATAGGGAGCCATTGAAACTTTTTGGGCAAAGGAGTATCAAGGTCAGACTTGTGCCCTAGGAAGTTTATTTTAGTGATTGTGTGAAGAATTGATTAGAGAGAGGTGAGAGTTGAAGACAGAGTAATTAAGAGGACATTACATGGTTCCTCCTTACCCTTCTCATATTCCCTTTGCAGCAGTCAGGCAATGACAACAGTATTTAGTACAACAAAATTTCTTTACTAGAAGCATGAAGATATATATGGACATAAACATCACAGGCAGGCAGTTACAGGCAGGGCCAACTGACAATGGAGTCCAATTATGGCTACCATAGTGGTTAAATCTTACCATAGATACCGACCTCTGCCTTGTCACCTGAAATCACTCCATTTCATGGCTCCACCAAGAAGTCTGAGCTCTCCTTAGTTTCACACTGTAGCAAAAATTCCCTAACAATCAAGATAAGCAGTATCCAGAAGAGCCAGTTTTGGAGCCAGGGAGACCAGAATTCAAGTCCTGCCTCTTGTATACATCTTGCCTGAGTTACCCTGAGCAAGCCACTTAAGTACCTCAGACAACTCTTTATGACAGTAAGTTTCAGATGCTGCTCTTCATTGGTAACAGTTACCTCTATCAACATAACCACTAATCCAAAAAGACATCAGATGGATACCACTGAAGGGCAAGGTCTTGGTGGCTCCTCCACATCTCTGTCCCTTACTGCTCCACAGCTCTGGTTCCTGCTTGGGTCAGCCCTTTTGCCATTCAGACCCACTCACCCACCAAGGCAGCCTGCTCAAACTCTTATGTCTGTTTAGAACTACTTTATTTTTTTGCCTCGATGACCACTTCTTCCAGGTCTACCCACTCTTAAGGAGTAGGGTGACAAAAATTTCTCTTATCGTTTCATCTTGCTTCCGGCTGCTAGGGCCAAAACTAAGCAATTCACCCACAGGCTTCATTTAGTTAAGACTGGAGAGGTGAGGTAAAGCAAAGGAATGACCTTTGTCCTACATTCTCTCGGGCATCAAAATGGTCACCTTCCCTAAGTGTATAGTCATTCGTGGCCTGGATGAAGTGTGATGCACTATTTACTTTTCTAAGCTTGCTTTCCACTATCCTCCTTCCTTCCACCCCGTTCCCATATGTTAAAAACAACAGCCTCTCTCGGAAGCTGCTGGGACAAAGAAGGCATGTTCTATCTTCGAAGTCTTAGGTGCTTCTTGGAGGAGGGCCAGGGAAAGCAACGAGGTACTGTGGTTACCTTTGCATGCACGCGGGGAACCCAGTCTCCTCCGCACGCAAATTTGTAGAGGGATTCTTACGAGACCACAAGGATGACCAGCGTCCTTTTAGCCTTTTTCTTGCGGTGTGTGGGACCGTACCTGGGGCTGGTACGGGGAGGAGGGGTCAGAATGAGTAGGTAAGGTACACTCCGCCTGTGCATGCTTTTCCAGTTCTCAAGAATGCCTGGGGAGTTGGAAGGGAGTGTCGGGAAGGTAGGGAGAGAGAGTGGGAGGACTTTCCGGGCGGAAGGGTTCAAACTCAGCCCGCCACCTTCACCAAGCAAGGGAGAGAGGTGGTCGCAAGGAGGGCGGGGCGACGGCTTCCTAAGAAGCGAGCACAGATGAAGGCGTGGCCAAGGCGGGCGCGGGGCGTGGCCGCGCGCAAGGCAAGGCGAGGGGCGGGCCCGCGCGGGGCACTGCCCACCTCCCTTCTCCTCCCTCCCCTCCCTCCCCCCAGCTCTACCCAGGCTTCCCAGCCTGCCCCGCGCTTCCCAGGCTCGGGCAGTCGCTGCAGCGGGCGCGCGTCCCCGTCCCCGGCTCGTTCCGTGCTATGGCGGCCTACAGCAAATACCTGACGGCGCGGAACTCTTCGCTGGCTGGGGCCGCCTTCCTAGTCCTCTGTCTGCTCCATAAGCGGCGTCGCGCCGCCGCCGCCGCCGCCTCCCGTGCTGGAGGCCCGCAGCACGGGTAAGCGGGTCCCGCCGCCCCCTCCTCCTCGGGCGCACCCCCGCGCCTCGAGCACCGCTCCAGGGTCCTGTCGGGGCCCCCTTTACCGGGGCCAGCATGAACCCGCTCGGCCTGTCCCCGCACCCCACTGATCTCTGGGCAGGGGTGTCCTCTCTGGCGCGAGCCCTTGACCTCCCCCCACCCTGTGCTCCTCCCCTTCCCCCGGTGCGCGAGTGCCCGCGTCCCCCTCCCTGTCCGCGCTCGCGGCCCATTCCCCTGCCCCAACTTTCCAGGGTGTCTTCGGATTCCTCTTCCTGTCCCCCGCGCGGGTGGGTGCAGGACCTGGCGCGGTTGGGGGTCCCGCCTGTGAGCTCCCTCTGTCCGTGCCCGTGACTGCCCCTGAGCCCAGGATAATCAGGGGTCTGCCCAAAACCATCAAGGAGGAGGGGGAGTCTTAAAACTCGGTTAGATCCACTTGGCAAAGGCTTGTAGGAAAGTGATTTGCGGACTTGGCCGGTGACTTGTCATCGAGACCGGCCAAATGTGTGACCCAAGAAGTTGATTGAACTGGCTGTCGCCTTCCTGAGGTATCTTACAGCTTCCTCGCGCTCCGCGGGTGAAAGGTGAAATCTCCTCCTCTCTAGGTGCAAGTCCACGCCGTTTGCCCTCAGCTTCAGAAGGATTTCGCTGGGGAGATTTAGCTTCTATTTTTAGGATTAGGGAAACTGGAGGAGAGGGATTCGGGGGTCATCGTGCATCCTGAAGGAGAGCAGTGGGAAGGAGGATGTTAGGACGACTGAGTTTTTTTTTTTATCTTAGGTAACTGGGTTTTTGTTGAAGTTACAGTCCAATGCCCTGTGCCTTCATCTTCATATTCTGTTTTTTTCAGTCACTATTTAATTAAAATTGCCGCCCCAAAAATCTGGGGTAAGAGGAAATTAAGTTTTATTCAATTGGAAGAAGTATGGCTAAAACTAGAGACCGTATTACCTGTTCAGTTTTATGCTGTTAACTGTAATTTCCAATAGGAAATAGTTCTGAATTGCCCAAAAGACTTAGTTTAGTAGGAAATTTTTACATTAAAATGAGCATATCTGAGGGGGGAAAACGTGACAACTCTTTTGTTAGGCACCATAGTTTTTTAGATAAAACAATTCCCAACCTTTTAAAATTTATTTGATTCTATTCCTCACCTAGAAAGTTATCCATTAAAAATGCAAAAATAAAAATATAACGTGACTTTCTATTAATATTCTCTCAGAGAGTAGTAGTGCTTAAATGAATAATAAATGCATTAGTGTTTAAAGAGTGGATAACAGAACTAGATAGGCCTCGATGAAAATTTTAGATATTTGATTGGAAAACAATTTAATACTAGCAGTAGAGTAATATATCATTTTTGTTAAAATCATACAAAAATGAAAATCCTTTTATTAGAAATTATGCAAAGTATTTTGAAATTAAATTGTACTCTGGTGATATATTTGAATAAGAAATCATTGTTTCATGATCTATTGAATGGAAATAAAGAGGAGATTTGTAGGTCATAGATTAAATTAGGAATTAAAATAAAACCAAACCATAAAACAAATGGTTATCCCTCAAAATATTTATAGACTTGATAAGGATTTTAAAGTGTTATTTTTGGGGAGGAGATGAAATGGTCAAATCAGCTTTATAAGGATGGTACAGGACCTGTGATTTCACTTGTAGAAATAACTCTTGAATGAGGAAATTCCCTCTACCAGTTTACCTTCTTTACCTTATTTTACCGTGTTTACCTTCTCTGCAGCTTAGGGTTGCCCCAGAGCACTGAGAGGTTAGAATCAGAGACAGGATTTGAATGCACATCTTCTTGTTCTGCTGTCTGCCATGCCAGGAGGCCTTTGTAAAGCTTTATAGGTGTACTGTGGTCTAAGTCATTTTAATTACCTTTCTGTAACCAGCTAAGATAAATGAATCTTTTGTGTTAGAGCTTTTGAAAACTGCCTATTTAATAGGTGGAGTACTTATATTTAACTGTCCTTATGAATCTCTTTGGGAATGGCTAATTAGATATATGTAAAGATGAATCAAAAAAGGCCAATAGTTATGCCTTTCCTCATTCTGTGAAGTTCAACATGTTGGACACCAGAAGCCTCTTAGAGTTGAGCCTCTTGTAAAGTAAGGTGAGAACAATTTTTTGTTAGAAAATGGGCTGACTGGAAGTTGGCACCCTTATAGAGTCTTTTCTATTAACCTTAAGCTCTAAGGGAAAGTACCTTGTCTTATATAAAGTTGTGTTTCCTTTAGTACCCACTTAGCCCTTAGTATACCCTAAGTGCTTAAGTACTTTTTTTTTCATTTATTCAAAAAGAATTTCTTTTGCTGAAAACAAAGCATCATATTCAATCCAACAAGTATTTGTGGAGCATTTAACCCATAATTACTTGATAAGAGAGCTACAAAAAGTATGTAAATGATAGGGTAGCTCCTGCCTTTTGGACATTTTCACCTGGATGACCTGTCTGTATCTTAGAGTCAACATGCCTAAAACTGAACTCATTATCTTTTCCCCCAAGCCTTTCCCTCTTCTTAACTTTACTATTACTGTTCTGGGGAACCACCATCATCTCAATCACTCAGCCTCCTACACTACGCGTCATCCTTAACTCCTTACTCTCTTACACCCTTCCTAATCCCTCAATATCTAATCTGTTACCAAAGTCTGTCAGTTTTATCTTCATAACATCTCTTGTATACACACTTCTTTTTTCTGAAACAGCTACCCTGCCTTGCTTTGTATCCTCATGTCTTAGCACAGTAAGTGCACATAACACTTAATAGTTATGATGTCAATAAAACAACCATTTTAAAAATGTAAGGTAATTTATGATTAGGTGACATTAGTAAATATATGTAATAAATATAAATAAATAATAAATGTTAATAGAATTCAGGAGAGATCAATATGAGTGGTCAAGGAAGGCTTCATTAAGGAGGGTAAGACTTGATTGGAGCCTTGAAGAAGGGATAGGATTTTAGATATGATTTTATACGAAAGAAATAAAATATTAAGGGTCATTTATTTCAGTTCTTATTGTGTTTATGAGTTTTGATGAAAGGAAGAAACTTTCTATTCTACTCCCTTACACACCTTTTGGGAGGATTATATAAAATCTACCATAAGGATAGGCAGATTCATGTACCTCAGGTTTGTTGAACCTAATTTGTAGGGGGAAACATTGATAAAGCATGAACAAGTAATCTGTCAGTTATGAATGATCATTATTAAGTAATTATAAGGCAAAATTCTAGTGGGATGGAATTATTAGATATGGGAGTATGTAATCCTAAAATACTTGGATTTCTCCTTTACCTTTATTCCTTCTCTGTTCCCCTCCATCCCCCAACTCCTCAATAAAAATGAGGAAATGTTTTAGAACATCTGAGAATAGCTAATCAAAAGTCAAGCAGTGTGTCTTGCCTTCTGTGATACTTTTCTCTTCTGGTTCTTGTACCTTTCTTACTATATACTTCCATCTTCAGCCTGTATATGTTACCCAAAGCTCAGTACTTGGCACTCGTATTTATATGTTTTCCATCTTAAAACTCATTTGTAGAGCTTTAGTGTTTTAGAGCTAGAAAGTACTATAGAAATAATTTAGTCCAATCTCCTTGTTTTACACCTGAGGAAACTAAGGTCCAGAAAGAAAAGTTAGATCATTGGCCTAAAACTTTCCTGGCTTCAACTGCATCTTATGAAGAACCTCTAGTCTTTTTGTCTCCTACTATTAGCATGTCCTCGTTTGAGTAAGCTCTCAGGATTACTTTAATTTCATGACAGCACGGCATAATGGAAAGCACAGACTCAGGAATCACCAGACTGAAGCTTTGGTTTAGACTTTGTCAACTTGTAGTGTGAACCATAGGCAAATCATTTCACTTCTCTGGACTGCAGTTTCACTGTCTTTTAAAATGAAGGGATTGGATAAGGCAGGTTCCTTTTGGTTGTAAGTCTTGAGTGTAACTCTATAAGCACATCATCTTTTCCCTGGAAATTTGTTTAATCTAACAGATTGTATACAGCATTTGAACAACTTTTCTTCCCAGGAGTCATCTTTGACTTTGCCCACTTTCCCCATGTCTAAATCTGTATGTTTTGTTAACTATTACAATATTTATCATTCATCTTTTCCTCATTATTTCCACTGTCATCACCTTCTAAACCCTTGCATTATAATTTATTACTAGATTACTGTAGTAGCTTTCTGCCAGACTTTTTCTCCTACTCTATTCAGGCACATGTTTACTGAGGGCTTAGTATTTGCAGGGCATTATAAGTGTCCTAGGGCAGCTATCTGCCTTCAGGGGCTTATGGTATAGTTGGAGATTTCACTTCATACCCAGCAAATTAGCAAAGATAGGAACAGTCAGTGATGGTGGAGGCAGGACTAAAGAAAGACAGGTACATTTCTACACTATTGGTAGAGCTATAAATTAGTCTAACCGTTTCTGGCAAGCAATTTGAAATACATGCTAAAAAGTGACTAAACTACTCCTATTCTTTGACCCAGAGATCCCACTGCTAGACATATGCCGCAAGGCTTGGTCAGAGATGGAAAGAAAGGTCCCGTATGACCAAAATAAGTAATTTTTGTGGTAGCAAAGAACTAGAAATACAGTAAATGCTCATCAGAATGGCTAAATAAATTGGTACATGAACATAGTGCTGTAAAATGGTGCTGTAAAATGATGGATCACAAACATACAGAATTAGAGTTGGAAGGAATCTCAGTGGCATCTAGTTCAACCCATACATGAAAGGAATCGCCACTGTTACATAATTGATAGTTGGTCATCCAGCTTCTGCTTTAACACCTCTAAGAGGGGGAATGTGAACATGAAGAATTCAGAGGAGTAGATGAAGGAAGTATAAATTGATCTAGATTGAAGAAACAAAACCAAGAAAAACAGTATATACAATGACTACAACAGTGTAAGTGGAAAGAACAAAATGATTGAAACTGAATGTAATTTTA